ATTTCTGCAGGATCATCTCTTCTCAATAACTTGTATTAATGCTGGAGATAGAGCGAGTAAAAGAAGAAGAAGAAGAAGACGACAAAAGCACTTCTACAAAATTATACCCTTCAGCTTTTTCAGAGCTTTCCTTATCTTGGTCTCGCAGCCAGCACAGTCCATGTGCACTATGAGCTCCACTATCTGCACAAAATTAACAATCAACAGATTAATTACAGTTCAATTTATGCAGAAGGTGATGGAAGGCCACTTGACAAAGACGACCTAGCAAATAAATTTTCAAAAATAAGTACCTTCTACTAATGCAGTTAGTGTAAACTTCAAAAATAAGTACCTAACACGCCATGCATAACTTCAGCTTGTATATACTGTTCTTGGATTGAAAGTTGTCCAACATATATAATACGTGGATATAAACTTTCATATATAATTAAGGACGCTGTCATGAAGTATAAGCAAGTAACTTGAAAATCACTTGCGCATAACTTTCTCATCTTCAACTGGAAGCACTAAGTTAATTGCAGAAATTGTATTGTTATGACATATGTTTCGAAGTATATTACGAGGGATTTGTGACTCCTTCCCTGACTGAAGTACATGCATAAACCTCATCTCTGATGTATATGTCATCAGAGATGAGACAAATATATAGACAGATAGAAAACCAAAAAGAGTTGTTTCTCACCGTCATTGTTGGAATAAGATATATCTCTGGTCTCTTTTGCAAATTGGTTCGTACGTTTGAGCCTCTAACTTATTGGAATGAGAAACTAAAATGCAATTGCACTCAATATAAATAGACGCCAGAGATCCTTGTCCAAAGATATATGACAAGTTCAACGCTGCGGCCTAAGCTAAGGCAAGATAAGTTAGAATATTTTTTAAAACGAGTAGCCCCCACAACACAACTTTCTTTTTATATATTTCGTTTTCTCCTTCCCCATCGATCTTGCTTTCAGTGAAAGTGCACAGCAAGTGCTTAGAAGTTGATGTGCAAGCCTTCTGATGAGCTTCAAATTTCTAATAACCTACCTGTTCAAGTAATATATTGTCTAATGAAGGACTTAACCGTGTTGGTCAAGTCACTCCGGTGTGTACAGGAAATAACAATGGATATTTATTTTATTTTTTTAATTGCAATTATTAAACCACTTTGGCCGTCACCATAGTTGCTAACGCCATACATATAGTCATCATCATCGTCATTATTATTAAAATGTTTTTAATTATATCGACATCATTATGTATATAGCCATTAATTAATAAATATATGCATGGATAATGGATTCCATCATATATATCATCTTTACAACTTTATTACATGTCACATGTGCAAGTTGTTGTACTATAATGCTCGTGGATAGACATAGCCCCGTTGGTAAGTTGGAAAAATGAGTTACAATTAGGTCATGTTCCGTCGTAAATATATATATATATATATATATATATATATGGCCTATAATAACACGACTTGAACACTCTCTGTGTCTAATGCATCGCTTTCGTATCGAATAAATTATTTGTAACATATTTACTCATCATAGTGTAGTTTGTAAATGAATTTTCTTGTCTTTATTTTAATGAAAAATAAGATTATAAATATGATATGTAGCATCAATTTTTTATTACCGAGATAAAGAAGTGATACCATATTTGATAATAATATGGATATTGAGATTCGAGAAGGAGAAAAAAGGAGTGGACTTGACTTGGTCTTCAAGTTCTGGTTCCTGGAAAAGAGAGAGAGGGAGGTGGAGGGGAGGTCGGTGAAATATGGCCTAGTTGCATATCTTTGCCTTGCAGGACCATACAAAGTGAGATTCCAAATTCATGTGCACCGTGATCCGGGACTTTTAATTTAAGAAAACGACTTTTGTAACAATCCCTTTCTAATTGGTACAACCGATATCTCTCCTACGTCTGAGCATTTGAATGAGGAAGTTGGACTTTAGATATTTAGGAAATTATTCACGTATTATAATAAGAGTGAGCGATATATTTATATTTATAATGACATATGTGTTACCATCCAAGGTTGACACTGAAAGATTTCTAGTTCATAAATTTAATTCATAAAGATGATTTGGGTACAAAACTCAAAATCTACTCCTTATGGTATTGATTATCATCAACTTAATTTTTATTTTCTAGTAGGATACCACAATCAGAAACCATATCATGATACAGCCTGGATTTGGACGAAAACAGTGGGGAAATTGAAAAAAAAGGGAGAAATTTTCCCCAAGTAAGGAAATGAAGTTGTAAACTGATGATATGTAGGCACCCACTGGACCTTGGCTTGCTTGCTAGCTTCTACTGGCCGGCAGCAAATGCCTCAACCGGAAAAGTCTTAGTAATGCCGGCAAGGCTCTTGAAGTTGATTTTTCCGGTGGGCTGATCAACAATGATTTCGCTGACTGGAGGCCAGAGCATGAGCTCCTTAGCCTTCACTCCCTTGAGCTTCTTAATTCTCTTGTTTTCAATATAGCCTTTAATTTCAGTGTCATAACTCACAAGCTTACTGATCAATTTGAAGCTGTGCTCAACCTTCTTCTTCTGGAGGATCCACATGTAGCCGGTGCTCCTCACAAAGCCGACTTCGATCACATTGGCAAGGGGCAAGAGCCCTAGAGGAAGATCAAACTCCTGGAGCAGCGCAGTTGCCAATGCCAGTCCCTCTTCATGGCCCTTCTTGACAATTCCTCCTTCCTTCTCTGCCATGACCGATAACTCTGTTTTTCTTTCTTTCTTTCTTGCTTGTTTGCTTAAAGTTTCAAATGAAGCAGTGAAGTTGTGGGTATGTTTGGTTGAGGTAAAGGGGTTAATTTATACAAAGTTACTACATGCATTGGGACAAGTTTCAACAGTGTGCTTAAGATTGATGACCATTACACACCTAGTTTTAATCGATACGTTAATCTTAGATTACAACATTGTTTCAGTTCAAGTACAAAGCTCAATGATACGATACGCCTAATTTCCCATACTGAATTTGGGCAGCTCATTGTCTGGTTGCAATTGTCTTAAACGAACAGGAAGAATAGGACCCAACAAAAGCAGCAAAATGGGGGGTGAAGACCACAACACACTTTGGAGCCTCCAGTGCTTCATCCCATGGATCATAAAATAAGGATTTAAGTGAAAATTTGGTGACTACTACAATGAAAATTACCTTGGTTTCTCCATTCTATTTGTCCCATGCATGCAGTAACTTGGTATAAATTAATCCCCTTACCCAAAAGTACTTACAACTTCACTGGTTTTCTTCGAACTTAAAGAAGAAGAAAAAGGGTTCAATCATGGCAGAGAAGGAAGGAGGAATCGTCAAGAAGGGCCACGAAGAGGGACTGGCGTTGGCGACTGCGCTGCTGCAAGAGTTTGAACTTCCACTTGGGCTTTTGCCCCTTGCCGATGTGATTGAAGTCGGGTTTGTGAGGAGCACTGGCTACATGTGGATCCTCCAAAAGAAGAAGGTCGAACACAGCTTCAAATTGATCAGTAAGCTTGTGAGTTATGACACTGAAATTAAAGGCTATATTGAAAAGAAGAGGATTAAGAAGCTCAAGGGAGTGAAGGCCAAGGAGCTCATGCTGTGGCCACCAGTCAGTGAAATAACTGCTGATGAACAGCCCACTGGAAAGATTCACTTCAAGAGCCTTGCTGGCATCACCAAGACTTTTCCGGTTGATGCATTTGCTGCTGGGCAGTAATTGCACGTTGACTGCCAAGCATGCCAAAGTCCAGTAGGTGCCTGAATTTCATCATTTTACAACCTCAGTTCCTATTTGGGGAAGCTTATCTTTCTCTTTTTTTTCCCCATCCATTGCTTGTCCAAATCAATGGCTTTGTTTCGATAAGGTTTCTGATTGTCGTAGCCTGTTAGGAAAATAAAAATTCAGTTGATGATAATTAATACCATATGAAGTGGGTTTTATGACACCGGATATGATGGAAACAATACTTAACTTGCACAATAATAAGTTCCTAATCAAATTAATTCATCATCAAACGAATTGCCTATTCAATCTCACAACAATCCAGCAAATAAACATTAGCTATGAAGATTTTAGAAAGTACAGGATGCACTTAATGGGACACATGGGTCACCCCATCTGCAGCAAAGTTCATAGATTTAAGAGTTTAATGATTTCTCTTATTACAAATTTCACATCTACAAATGATAAATGGCAAGTAAAGAAATTTTGAAATCTGAAAATTGCTCCATTTACAGCTAACCAGAAAATAAATTTCATCTCGCAGGCAAGATGTAAGCAGTTAAATGAACATCAATCATCAAATGAATCATCACAAACAGTTTAAAGAACTAGTGTAGAAGCACTAAAAACAAGGGCAGAGCAAGAAATACAAATTCAAGTGCCATTTATTTAAGAGTTGAGGCATAATGAAGCTTACTTAAGTGATCAGCCTTACTCATACAGCAAACCTGCATTGCACTGATTCTATGGTTTCATTTGACCATTTATTCGCTTAGCTGTTTAGCCTACTCGTAGTGTAAAAACAGAAGCTAATACATCTCACTGCACCCGAGAAAAATATAAAGAAAAACTTGGTTTCGAGAGAGAGAGAGAATAAGAATGTTTTCGAGAAAAAGCAAACAGCTTTATATTTATCACTCAAGAAAGTTCGGACAGATCAGAGCTATGGCTAGTAATGATGTAGACATGAGCATGAAATGGCTGATTAAAGAATATGCATCCGGTGAAATTTCTAGAAAGATGGTTCTGAGAAAATAAGTTTGCTGCCAAGAAGATTGAGTTTTGATATAAATGCAACTTAGCAATTGCAAAATACACGATGAAACATAAATATGCCCATAACTATCAAAGCTCCCTAAAGAACAGCCAATACAGTATTGTATTGTGTTCTTCATGACCGAATCCAACCCACACACCCCACCCCACCCAAAAACGAGCCAGGTAACATAAAGAGCAACAAATATGCAGAAAAGATAAACCTTCGAGACAAAAGAATTTCCTTTCTTAATAATAACCTTTGTAACAAAAGAATGAGGTCCCATTAGAAGAACCAGTATGTATTATAATGTAATTGCCAATCTTCTGTTTCAAAACAGGAGAGAGCTTGTATAATTGTATCAGATGTAAGATTAACAAAATCTCATCAAAATCCAACAAAAATGTAACTTCGATCATGCAGTTGGAAAGACATGTGAGAATATTCCACCGATTACGGTTCCACCATGTCAGAAGCTCTCACACAATCCCAGAGTTGAACACATGTAATTCCAGTAAGACATTGTACCACCCCTTCTCAATTTCCTCCTCTTTTACTCGATGAAGGAGAAGAGTTTCAATAATTAAATCTTCCCAATCAATACCACGTGCTCTCTTTCTCTTCTTCGTAGTATGTACATCTTCAGAAGTGCAAGTATCGCTACTGTCACCTGAATGAGCATTTAATGGATGCATAATTTTATCAATACGCAGCTTGGCAGCATTTATCTTTTCTCTCCTCTTCTTTACAGTCACGCAACCATTAACAAAAGATGGGGGCACAACATCCAATCCTACATCTTTCTCCAATATCTCCTTAAGTAGAAGCCTCCTGCTCAATGCAGACTTTCCATTCCACCACTCTGTACAAGCATGGAGCTCAAACCCCCGCCTCTTTTTCCTTTCATGAACCTCTTTTAACCCCCCAGACAACTTTACATTCCCAACCTCATCCAAAAACTTTGAGTACATCATGGATAAGCATTCATGTGAAAGCTTCAGCTTATCCACATTGTCAACACCCAATGCGCACCCACCATCTTCTGCCTCAAAATACCGAGACTGGTGTGCAAATTTTAACTTTTCCATTTCTGTTTCATAATCATCTTCAAAGGACATCATATCAGTCCCATCTCCGATATCTTTCCTCAAACAATCTCTAACAACATCTCCCAAATCTAACCCAACACCGCCCTTCGAGCCCTCTGAATCCTTCTTCTTACTCGGCTTTGACATCGCCTTCCTCTCCATATACTGAATCACAAACGGGGCATTCTTAACCACATTCTTAACTGTAATATCCTTCCCCCAAGGCAAGGCTTGTGCAACCTTCACAAGCGCCTGTAAAAGCTCCCTATACCTCAACCTACTGGTATGTACAACAGCATGGATTTCCTTAGCCAATTCCTCAATCCTAATGCTAATACCATTCAACTCCGCCACAAGAACCAACACCGCCGCCACAATTGGAAGCGGCCTACGCCCGGTGGTCAAGAACCACTTCATGGCACAATGTATCAAAAATATGCCCTGTTTTTTCATTCTGTGCAGCTTATCCCCTTCAACATCAGCGAAACTATGCGAATTCCTAAGCGTCCGCTCGAACAAATTGACAATATCGAATTCTGGAAAATTGGGTTTTTTCAAATCGAGGAAATTAACAACCCGCATGATCATCCTACCAAGTTCATAGGCATCGGAGCCGATCACCGAAGCAACCTCGGAGATCGGCAAGGATTTGTTATCTCTTCTCATGCCAACATAGGAGCAAGCACCAACGAAAACATTGAACCAATTACCTTGGCCGTACTCACCTTCGGTGATTGTCGCGACCATTCTCTTGACGTCGTCGGATTCGGAGGGCGAAAATCCCAGCCTAAGCGACACGTCGTCGATGAGCTTTCTTGCCTCGTAGATTTTGGTTTCTTTGTAGCTGTAAACGTTGCCGGTGCCGGTGGTGCCGACGGAGACGAAGGTGCCGGTGGGGCCGTTGATGCCGCCGTACTGTTCGACCAAATTGTCGTACTCTTGGAGCCGTCCGCAGGTGGAGCAGGCGAGGTTGTTGGTGATGTCGTCGCGGATGAAGGTTTTGCCCTTGCAACTGTTGCAGATGGGCATGTTTGGGTCGGTGATTGAGGGGTATGTCACTAGACTCACTACTCACTGTTGCGGTGTTTGGTTGGTGAGAAAATTGGGCACTTGAGAAGGAAAATTTTGAGTGAAAGTTAATAAAAGTTGTGTAATTTAAGTGGTATATGGTTTGATAGCTCACAAGATTTTTGGTATTTATGCCGGGAAACCCTTTAACTACTAGGAAAGGGCAAACCGGAAAAAAGAAAGGAAGAAAGAGGGGCACTTTGATTTGAAGTAAACTTTCCACTCAGCGCTTCAGTCCAAACCATCGGGTATAATCAAGGTATAAAATATCGATGATATCGGAAATATCGGTAATCCAAAAACACGAAAATTTCTATGGAAATATCGGGATATTATCGATATCGATAAAAATTGAATAAAAACCACGAAAATTATAAGAAAAACTTTGAAATTTTTAGTCAATTATCTATTAATTTATCACAAAAAATTAGAATGAAATGCATTGCATGATAGATTTAACTTATTTAAGTTGATTATACAGCGAGCTGGCAAACACTGTAAGTGTAGAAAATATGTAGTAATTAATGAAAAAAAATTAAACACACCATAATCATTTATATATAATGATTTACTACAATATTTTACACTTTATACATTGCATAGTAAGATACATGAGTGACTTAGTACCACATAGAGTTCCTATGAGGTTCAAATTTTTCACTATCTTCATCATCTCTATGTGTAGAGTAAGTGTATTGTGAAGAGTAGTCATCAAATGATAAATCCCCAAAATAGTTTTGCATGTAATTGTTAACATGCCACCCATATAAAAATAAATATTTTAGCATATTATCACAAAAACATTAGTGATATGGTGATTAAGGTGTTGGAGGAGTAAAATGGGAGGGGTTCAAATCTCCTTTGTGTTTTTTTTTCTCCATTTTCTCCCTTTTTTCCCTTTTTCCCCTTTTTTTCCCCTTTTTTTTCTTTTTTTTTTCTTTTTTTTTCCTTTACATCGATATTTTAGCGATATTACACCGATATTTTGACAAAATATTGCTGAAGTGTGAGCGAAATTATCAACATCGATATTTTCCGATATTATCATTGATATTGTCGATATTTATACGATATGTACATGGATATGTTCCGAAATATCCTCGATATTTCGTCGATATTATCGATATTTCATACTATGATCATGAGGACTTGTGAGACAGTTATTGTGAATATGGGATGCATGCATATGAAATGTTGCACAAACATTGTTGATACGTACAAAGGATTACAAAATTGCACATAAAAACTGGAAATGATATTCATATTTCCAAAAAACCAAAACACTTTTGACATTTTCATGAAATTCATTGCTAAAATTGAGAAATGATACAACTAACAACAGTAGCAGCATATCTTTAATGTCCCTCACTATATGGATTATGTGAGCATATTTTGATCGTTCGAAATGGAGTTTTGAATTATGTTTTATGGAGGTTGTGAAAAGTAGGTGGTCAAATGCCGTTCCTAACCTTGCATGAGCGGGAAAGAAAGTTATTGTAGGAATTATTTTTTTTCCAACCACCTTGTAAACCCTAAACCCTAAACCCTAACACTTTTTGAATTATTATTGACCCTAAAAGGTAATCAATTTTAAAGTGTAAAAATTAGAATTAGGGGCTCATCCCTAATATAAATAGCATTCCTCCATGGGTCTAACAAGTAATGGGACAATCGCTTTTGAGCGATTGTGAATAGCATTCCTCTATGCCTCACCCTATATATATAATATGAAAAGTCTCTAGTATGAAAAAGTTGATTCCATAATACCCTTTGTGGGGGTCTTTTTGTTCCAGCAGCCTGACGAATGGGCTGGGCTGCTGTAAGGAGCGAAAATGGGTGAAATTACCCCCAGTGTCTGAGTTCAAAGATCAAGCCCCGAGAATGCTTCGAAAGGACGGTGAAGCCTTAGGAAACACCCCGGTTACCTTCACCAATAAAAACAACGTCTGCTTACAGATAGATTTTTAGCTTGGCTTGAGAAGCTTGTGGCATGGGAGCATAGTTGCCATGAGTTTAGTACTAAAGAGAAAATTAAGCGTTCCTGGGGAAATATGGGTATCAAGAAAAGGGATTTTGAAGAGAGGTTTGGTTAGGAATGAGGGAAGGAAAGGAAAAGATGGCTTGGGCGCTATTTCCGGCAGCTCGACGGTGACTCTGTCAAATGTCAGAATAGCATGACAAAGGGGAAAGCTGAGGAAGGAGATGAACTAAGCACGAAAATTGCTGGGTTTTGAAGTAAGAGAGGAAGCTTGCTCTCTGGTTGTGGATGATTTTCGTTGGGTAGAAGAGACCCTATTTATAGCCACTAGAAGCCATCTGTTTCCTAGAAACCCTACTGACTTCCATCCTATTTTGCCAAGTTTTGCTTCCCTTTCTCTCCTCATCCTTTCAATCATCTTCTTTTGGTAAAGTCCACTCTGCTCCTTTGCATAAAATCAGGGATTTTGGGAGCTCAAGGCCCTTTTCCCGCGGCTACCTCTGTGAAGCATTCATATTTCCATCCCTCTCCTTTTTCTTCTTTTCTCCTCTTTCCATGGCCAGATTCTAATGAAGAAAAGAAATGGCTATGTATGCTGGTTTGAAAAGTGGCATCCTTCCTTGCGCGCCAATATCCCTTGGTCCCTTGAAGGTTTTTGCTTGGAACTTGTTCCTTCCATGGCTGAAGCTCTACAGCTGCTTTGTGCACGTGGTCCTCCAAGCTCCTTGCGCAGCTTTGTCCTCCAGCCAAGTGCTGGAGTTTTTGATATTTCTTATCCTAATTGTATGGGCCTTTCATGACAATAATTAAATAAATAGGCTACCCTTAAGTGTTGGGCCATCTTGATTGAGGCAATGGGTCATTCTTGGTTGGAGTAATGGGCCATTCTTGGTTGGAGTAATGGGCTATTTTATGGTTGGGCTATTTTGGTTGGGATATTTTCTCTCTTGTACTTACCCATGTTTTTGGGCCCATTTAAGAAATGGGCCTGAATTCTGAGGCTCCCAAGTGACCCGGAACTTCCATTTCTCGGTCCATCAATGGGTCTCATGACAACTTATTACCATCCATACCACAACCCACTCAAGCAAGCCCCGGGCATCTTGCATGGCTTGGGCCCACTTAAGCTTGTAGCGTGGCGTGTTGCTTATTTGCTTGGCGTGGCATGTGTGCAAGCGCATATGACGAACTTTTGAGTGCCCAAATCGGGTTTCTTATCGGTAAGGTATTGCATTGGGCCGATAATTTATTTGGGCCGAACTGTGGATTTTTTGGGCCTCAACACCCCTAACGCCTAAACCCCAAACCCTAAACCCTTAACCCCAAACCTCTAAACCCTAACCCCTAAAACCTAAACCATAAACTCTACCATTTTAAATCAATTTTGAAGTACAAAGAAATAGTAAATTGGATGATATGCCAAGTGGCGGTTTTCCTTGCTGACACCTGGAAGTGGATGGGATACTAGGCTCACCGTGTGCACAACAAAATATATACGTATTTCTTAGCACCAATACTTCGTATCCCAAGTCCAAAAAGTGGTTTACAATTGTTTTAAAATTACAATTTGGGGGGCATCCTTAAATGTGAATGCAAATGAAAACATAACCACACTTTGTAAACCCTAAGTTATTGTTTATTTGATCACATAAGGACGTGAACGAAATTTGAAGTATGTAATCGAAGGAAATGTCATACCAATCCTGACACTATTTTTTTTTTGGGAATTGTTTGAATTATGAACGATTTTAAAATAAGTTGTGAAGTAGAAAGAAATAATTAATTGCATGAGAAAAATACAATAACATAACAATACATACCTACTTGTCACACTAATACATAGGAATATCACAAGATATTCATAGGAATTTTCTGTGTATTTTTATGATTTTTAATTTATTTATTATGAATTTTAGAAATTAAATTATCGATAAATAATATGAAATATATTAAATTGACACGTGGCAGAGTCTTGGACATTGATTTTTATGACATGGCATGTGTGTCATAGACATTGATTTCTCCTCCCTATTTTGTTTTCGCTGGCGCTCTTTTTTGAGTGAAATTCTAATTTCGCGCGACCCCTCTCATTCCCTCATCCTAAAAAAAATTCACGCTTCTTTTCTCTTTTCAGCCCCAAATCGGAACCACTTCCCCCCTCCTCTCTCCTTATCTCTTTTCCAGACCCAAACCCTAAAATTCGCACACCCACTCTCTACTCTCCCTCTCCCTCTCCCTCTCCTCATCTATCTGTCTCTGTTTCTGTCTCTCTCTATATGTGGCTACATGGTCTCTAAGAAGAAGTATGATTGCTTTGTAAGTATCTATTTCAAGAATTCAATTTCTTATTTCGTATTTGGGTTTCAAGTTTTATTTTTATTTTTGCAGAATCTAGGTTGGTTTGTCTCCTCTCTCCCTCTTCGTTCCAGTAACCCTCTCGCCCTTGGTTTGTATCAATTCCTAAACGCCAATTTGTTTTTTCTTTAAATATGTTTCCTGATTAATTTTTCTGTATTGGTTCTGAAAAAAATGGGTATTTTGTTGTTGGTTCATTCTATCTAGTTCACGGTTTTGATAAATTTTCAACCATCCTAAGTAGGGTAATTGTACAGATTGATGGTAGAAAAAGTAGCAGATCTTGATAGTCTTGAAAGTTTGTGAATCTCCTTTGTTTAATTGTGTTGTGAATTTTTTTTAGGGGATAGGATGTGCTGTGATTCTTTGGTGGTATTATTATATGAGGAGAGAGACTTGCAGATTTGGCACTTCTTGTAAGTTTCGCCATCCTAAACATGTATGCCCACTCTCTACTCTCCCTCTCCCTCTCCCTCTCCTCATCTATCTGTCTCTGTTTCTGTCTCTCTCTATATGTGGCTACATGGTCTCTAAGAAGAAGTATGATTGCTTTGTAAGTGTCTATTTCAAGAATTCAATTTCTTATTTCGTATTTGGGTTTCAAGTTTTATTTTTATTTTTGCAGAATCTAGGTTGGTTTGTCTCCTCTCTCCCTCTTCGTTCCAGTAACCCTCTCGCCCTTGGTTTGTATCAATTCCTAAACGCCAATTTGTTTTTTCTTTAAATATGTTTCCTGATTAATTTTTCTGTATTGGTTCTGAAAAAAATGGGTATTTTGTTGTTGGTTCATTCTATCTAGTTCACGGTTTTGATAAATTTTCAACCATCCTAAGTAGGGTAATTGTACAGATTGATGGTAGAAAAAGTAGCAGATCTTGATAGTCTTGAAAGTTTGTGAATCTCCTTTGTTTAATTGTGTTGTGATTTTTTTTAGGGGATAGGATGTGCTGTGATTCTTTGGTGGTATTATTATATGAGGAGAGGGACTTGCAGATTTGGCACTTCTTGTAGGTTTCGCCATCCTGAACATGTAATTAATTTTCTGCTCTTCTTCTTTCTGTTTATAGATGAAGACTCTGGTTGGTACGATGGTCAGGTACATAGGTTTTTAGTTTACCTTTTGGTTATTACCAAGTTGAATGATTATGTTACATCTAAAGTTGATTCAATGCTCACAACTCTTTTTAGCATATTTCATTGCCTTAAAAGTTGGAAGTTTTTCCTTTTCAATGCAATTTCCTTCCCTTTTGTAGAATCATAAAGCTTGCTTTCGAACTAATTCTTTTTGCTTGTAAAGAAGTATATGACAAGGTAGTAAAAGTTGGATATTCCATTGAAGTTGCCTGGAGGATATATATATATCATCATATGTTCTCATTGACAAATGTGGTATGCATGGTGCCAATTGCCTAGAATGTCCACTATTTCTTTATGACCAGTTCGTCAAATGCAGGAAATCATCACGAGTCTGAATTTGAACCAATTCTACTTGCTGGCTTTTCTGATCTAGATATTGAAATTTATTGTTTTTGTCACCAAAATATGTTCTGTAAATGCTTCGAAATGAAAGGTTTAGTGCTGCTTAGAGTTGCTATGGGTTCATTTTTATATCCTTGTTTCAGGTGTTTGATTGAATTCTTATATTCATATTGTTGGAGCCTGCCATCCAACGAGTGGGTTTCATTTGAAATTCTTAGTTTGGGTGTTTAATTCTTGTTTGTATTCAAATTTAAGTTTTAGGTTCAACAAGAATTCCAATTATTATAATATTTTGGTTACGCGCTTCACTTTTGCATAGCCTGCATTCTTTTGTACACATTTTCTTATTAAATTTCTCAAATTTTAATAAGTATTGAAGCCCTAATGACATTTTCGTGATGCTTTTAAGAAGCATATTTTGACAAGAAAAATGACATTTTTGGAGCTTAGGCTTTGTTGGGTAGGTGGATTGGTTTGTCTACGCAAATTCAGTTAAGTATTTTCCTTTGTTGGGCTTAGGCTATATATATCTATCACGTGTGCAAGCTTTTAGGCTAATAGCTCCCAAGAGGGGTAGATCGTAGGGTAGGAGGCCTGGCTGCCGTAATCAGCCGTTGTATGCCTCTTGACATGGCGAAAGCAGCAGTGGAGCTCCCAAGAGATCGTGGTTGCAGCCACGACACAACAGAACAAACCCTCCTATCATACTGATACCATAACAACAACCAAGACTAGTATATTATATAATAAGTCTACACACTCCATAAAATCAGTTCGAAATATAACGGCATGCCTTCCTCTACATTGTCTAAATTAAAGACTGAAATTGAATCAAATTAAAGTGCATGAAATACATGTCATAGGATAGGACCCATTAATTGAAGCGTTGCTAAACAAGAGGAAGGTTTAACAGCACACCTCTTCTCGCAGCAGCGTGTTTCAAAAACTTTGTCTTGATATTGTTGAGTGTGGCTACAGCTTCTTTCATACTTATCCTCTCTTCTGGTGATTCTGCACAGCAAGTAAGAGCTAATCTCATAATGGCTGATATGCAGTCCATCTTCTTCACATGATCATCGTCTTCCTGCTGTGTCACAATCCCAAGCAAATTGGCATCCACAACTTCATCTATCTTTGCATCTGGTAATACTAGTGACTTTGCAATCCATTGCTTTATATTCATTTCCCCATCAAACATCTCATCTGTTGGCTTCCTTCTTGTGAATGTTTCCATCACTACAATTCCGAAACTGTACACATCCCCTCTTGTTGAAACCATTCCTTCCAATCCATACTCTGCATTATGAATTATACTTGTATATTCATGTGAATGAATATATATTAAATGAAAATTATGCATAATTAAGGACAGCATGTATAGAATTGAAAGATATTAAATTAGCAAGTACATCACCTGGAGCCATATACCCAACAGTGGCTAGAGTCATGGTTTGGGTAATAGAATCTCCTCCACCCGAGAGTTTTGCAATTCCAAAATCAGCAACATGTGCAACCATATCATCATCCAGTAGTATATTGCTTGGCTTCATATCACAATGCACAATGGGTATTGAATAACCATGGTGTAGGTATTCCAGTGCAGATGCAACATCTATCATTATGTTCAACCTCTGTAAGATATTCAAAGAATTTTGAGAGTACAACCACTTCTCAAGGCTCCCATTAGGCATGTATTTGAGTACCAAGGCTTTGAAATCAATTTCATTGCAACAGCTGATGATTTTGATAAGGTTTCGATGACGAATATTGCTTAGCATTTCACATTCCCTATCAAAACTCTTGAAAGCCCCTTCTAGCTGTAAACTGAAAACCTTTACTGCAACATCTATTCCATCTGAAAGTGTCCCTTTATATACTGAACCAAAACCCCCACTTCCAAGTAGGTTGTTTTCATTAAATCCATTTGTGCCCCTTAGAAGTTCTAGATGTGAAACTCTTCTCCAAAGAAGTTGAGGCAACGAGGTAGCCTCTCCTGCAACTTCCACATTCCTTTTCCTGCATAGTACAAAGATAAATACAGAGGCCACAAAGAGAATTACTGATATGATCCCTGGGATGATATATTTAGCTTTCCTCCAATTTGGTTCATGTGTACCATTTTTGCATGGTGGAACCTGAAGTCGGGCTGCACCACAGAGTGCTTTGTTTGAGACAAATGATTGAGCGGAGAAGTTTTGGAACGGTCCACCAGTTGGAATTTCTCCTTGGAGCCTGTTGAAAGACAAATCCATATACTTGAGAAGTGACAGAGCTTCTAAAGACTTGGGAATCACTCCGGAAAGATTGTTTCTGGACAAATCCAAGAGTTGCAGGCTTAGCAACCCGTCAAATGAACTTGGAATAGGGCCTTCCAAATTATTATTTGCCAAGGATAGATTAACCAAACCCTGAAGACCCCCAATAGTGCTTGGTAGGATACCAGATAAATTGTTATTTGATAAATTTACCAGTATCACAACTTTCAAGTTTCCAATATCTTGTGAGAGATTTCCAATTAGATAATTGGATGATAAGTCTACATACAAGATATCGGCAAGTCTCCAAAAGTTAGATGGTATTGTGAAACTCAACGAATTGGACGCCAATGATAGATATCTCAGAGAAGTGGTTAGATTTCCCAAGCAAGAAGGTATAGAACCATAGAGCTGATTACTACTCAAATCTAAGTGAGCTAGGTTATCTAATTGACATAGTTGATATGGGATGTACCCTCGCAACTTGTTATCTTTCAAGAACAAACCTTGGAGATTCCCTAGGCTTCCCAGTGAAGTTGGAATTGATCCACTTAATTGATTGCCTCCCATGGATAACTTTACCAAGCTGCTCAAGTTGCCAATACCAATGGGAATGTTACCCCTCATGCTGCAATTGTATAAATAAATATATTGAAGCGACGATGTAGAGAAATTCCGAAAGGAATCATCAAATCTGGCATTTAACGGATTAGCTGACAAGGTTAACAATGTCAAATTTCCAAGATTAACCAAACAAGAGAGAGTGGAAGTATCAATCGTCAAATTATTATTGTGTAACAAAAGCCACTGAAGGTTCGTTAAGGCACATAGCGTGCTAGGAATAAACCCTGTAAATGAGTTTCGCGCCAATGCAAGCCGCGTGAGCATAGAAGCATTGGATAGGTTTGGGATTACTCCGCTGAGACCAGCTGCACTAAGATAGAGGAATTGTAGGTTTGGAAGCCCAAGACCTATGTTTGCTGGGAGGCTACCCGATAGCTGATTCCAACTAAGCGACAGAAGTCTGATGGTGGAGATATTGAATATTGAGGACCATGGAATAGTACCTGCCAGTCCCGCAATTTATTAGTCTACAACAATTTCACTGTATATGGATTTATGTAACCTAATCTAACCCTATCTAACCGTTCATGACTTTTAGTACAAAATGTCACATCATAATATTAATTAATACAACTATTTTTAAACAGAAATCTCTAAAAATAAAATAAAAGTCCTAAATAGATTTGTCTTTTGAAACAAAACACGTTTGAGGTTGCATTATGTTGGTTAACCTCAGATTTGAACATATTGACTTAGATAGAGCGTTTATTAGGCAAGTCAATATGTTATATTCATGATTGTAAACCTTGTTATTCGTCAAATTGTTGCTGTCAAGGGATATCACCTCCATAATTGTTAAGTTCCCAATATTCTCCCTCATTTACTAAAATATGAAATAGTTAAATAACGATAAATTATGCAACCAAAATAAAAAAGATAAATCATAATTGGATCGACATAATGAAATATCAATTACCCGTCAAATTGTTGAAGCCAAGGGATAAAACCTCCATCGTTGTTAAGTTCCCAATATTTTTTGGTATGCTTCCACTGAAATTGTTTTCCCCCAAATCAAGTTCAAGAAGCTCTCTGCATTGCCATAATTTGGATGGAAGTGGACCATCAAACTGGTTGCGACCCAAGTACAAGTTTTGAAGACTAGGAAGATGTTGGCATATATTGTCTGGAAGACCACCACTCAAGCTGTTTTCAGCTAGAGCCAACGTAGTCAAAGAAGACATGTTGAAAACAACCACAGGAATAGGGCCTGCACATACAACTCTTCCACATGATCTAAAAAGCCAATCTCTTTTGGAATTTTTCTATAGTATTAGATTTGAAGGGTGTTTTTTATATTTATAAAATATTATGTTATAATGGGCCTCCATGTGAAATTAGCATAATTTTGTAAAGAAAAAAGAACACATCAGGCTTATAGATTAATAACAAGATGTTAAAACATAATGGTAGATCACCAATAGAGTCTAGATAAATTGTTGACACATATGTACCTGATAGTTTGTTAACGCTTAGAAAAAGTACTTGCAATGTAGATAAGTTGAAAATAGTCGTGGGTATGGAACCTGAAAACTGATTTCCATACAATCCCAATTTTTGAAGTTTGGGGAAGGACCCAAACCACGATGGAATGAATCCCATAAAATTGTTGAATCCGAAGTTAATCAACTTCAGGCGACATAAATAAGACAATTCATGGGGCAGGGTGTCATGAAAACTGTTGTTTCTTAAGTCCAGCTCAACAAGAAATGAGAGGTTGCCTAAGTATGGTGGAATGGTGCCTGTGAGATCCATGAACGAGAGATTCAATGATGCTACTCTGAGGTGACGAGCACCACAAACAACGCCAGCCCAATTGCAAACGGAGGTGGTCGTTGACCAATTGACCAAGATGTTGTGAGGGTCACTAGTGAGATGGGATTTGAGAGCAAGAAGAGCAGACTGGTCCGTGGTGATGTTGGTTTGTGCTGCACCTACTGTGCCTATAGAACTGTACTGCAGCTGCAGCACTAGCAAGAAGGTGATTGACAAGAGGAAACAACTTCTCTCCATGACCATGAGCACCGAAAACAGAGAAGTTCCTTCCAACTTCAAATTGTTTTTCATTTGTTTTTTCCTTTCCGATTTAGAATTTGAAATCATTGAATAATTTGTTGTAGTGCCAATCTATATATGAAGGTAGAACAAGGTGCCGAAGAGTGGGGCACATGATTGCACCCTCGGGGAAGAAATTCGCAAGTAGCAAATGCTACGACTTAAGACGGTAGACTTGTAATGAAGGAAGAATGGACAATTGGGCATCTGTTTCCACGCATCTGTCTTCATAAATGTACAACAACTTGCTCATACATATGTCTCCACACATCTGTCTTCATAAATGTACAACAACTTGCTAATACATATGTCGATTTTTCTTTTCTTCATTTTTTCAGAAATTTCTAATTATCCGGGCGCAAGTAACGGGGTTTAAATTCATCGCATCAGGTTATGGTGAGTTCATAATCCATTGCTTTAAATTCATATCCCCAATAAACATCTCCATATGTTGGCTTCCTTTTTATGAATGTTTTCATGAGACTATAATACGAAAACTGTACTCTCATCTCATCTACTCGATGTGTATATGCATCAAATTTCAATACAAAACAAAGCATATACACATACATATATGGTAGAAAACAATTCCATGACAGCAAGCTCGTGGACTAAATTTGCAAGCAGTTAATTGCTCAGACCAGGGCCAATTTCCGTTAGTTTTTCGCTTTGTTGGCTTAGGCCTGTATATATTTGTTAATGCTGTCAAAAGGTCGATAGTTCAATGGTAAAGGTATTTACCTAGTTAGTGATCTCAAGTTCAAACACCAATAACACTTCCCTTCTCCCTTCCAAATTTTGATAAATAATAATAATAATAATAATAATAATTTGTGAATGCGACTAATTTCAGTTTGGTCACAAAATATTTTTCAATATTAAGACTTCATTATAAATGTTAATTGCATTTAGCTTTAAATCAAATTAAAAAGTCAAAAAACTTGTGTATATTAGTCTTTTTCATGTCACTTTTCTGATGTACACATCCGTTGGCATTATATACGAGCTGGTAGACAATACTTCCATTCATCTCAACATCTACAAATCCTTATCAGGGAGGGCCTAAGCATAGGCTGGCAAGGTGGTTGCCTAGGGCCTCCAAATTGGGAGGGCCTCCAATTTATATAAACCTCTATATATACATATGTATGTTACTTTAAAAATATCATATTGATATTATATTAAGCTTAAGTATTGCTTTTTTCAAAAGCCAAATTATTTACTCTAAAACTAAAACGAGGAAACTCGATAAAGGATCAATTATTATTATTTTAAAAGTTAAACCAGTTTAATAAGTTAACCTAGTCAAAAAAAAAATAATCTAGAAATTTTCATACAGAAAATATATGCAGGCATGATCTTGCTCTCTAAAGCTGCTTTCAATGGTGGCATGAACAGCTACGTGTTCGTCTTCTACAGGGAAAGCGTCAACCGATCCTCCCCAAAACCAAACCAGTTGCATCAAGCAAAACATGCCACGAGTTTCTGTGTGCTTCTGAGATCCAATGCATGGAGTATTTAGTCTCATCCACAGTGGCTGGATAGGAAGCCAACGCAAGTTCGGTGGTGCTAAAGTATGCTTTGTGTATCAATATACCTATCCCTTCATAGATCCTGAGTTTGACTGCATCAAGTATGGCACGTCAGATAAGCAGTTCCTCAAGTATGCTTGGAAGCCCAACTATTGTGACTTGCCCAGCAGGGGCGGAGCCACACTGGGACCAGTGTGGTCACGGGCCCTCACTCAATTTTTTAATATTTTAAAAGTAATATATTGTTATGTATTTGTATATGTATATTATTTCAAATACTTTACATTTTGATATGTACCCACATATGTTGTAGCGGATCTATTAAGGCACAAGGAGATGCTTCAAAGTGCCCATTTGCTCAGCTGGTAGTGGTGCACTCTAGTTGTACAGATTACCTTATTTCCATTTTCAACATTTAAGTAAATGTCTTTGTCCTTTTACTTTCATTTATTTTTATATTACTCCATTTACTTAAGTTTACAATATAAATAAGGAAGTACCCCCTATTTGGATTCAAATAAAAATACTAGAAAATCAAATTCCCACCAAATCAAAATATGAAAAATCGGTTTTAGTGCAAAATACGATTTAGGCTAAAAATGATGGCTCATTAAGTCAATATATACTTCATACTAAAATCCCATAAAATCAAGTTTTCTTATTTGATGTGTAAGGAATAAAAGCCGCCAAAAATTATCTTGAGAAAATGATTATTTCGAAAAACCATTTTTCATACTTAGTCAATATTTTTACATAAAACATTTTTTCATGTATGATATGAATGCATGAAGGGCCCTAAGGTTTTTTTTAGTTTGTGAAATTTTGATTTTTTCTTTCAACATATATATTGACTTAGATAGGTAAGAATATTATTAATAGGGTTTCTTAAACGTATAGCCGCCCGGCTATATTACTTATTAAAAAAAAATAAGTATAGCCGAGAGCTATACTTTTTAAATATACTAGCCTCTCTGCATGCACTTCCGCGCCTGCGAGAGGCTTTTTTTTATTATAAAAAAATAAATTTATTTTAGAATCATTATCTGATTTTTCTTTTAATTTTAATTTTTTAAAATATGAAAACGTGTGAATTTACCATATTATCCTCATTTAATTAATAATTTCAATTCTTAATGTTTGCATTAACCAAGGGCATTTTCTGGTATTTTGAATGTTTCACCATTCTCTGCCTTTTGCTTTATATATATAGATTATATTTAATACGTAGAGCCGTAAGGCTATACTATTTATTTTTAAAAAAAGGCCCCGTATAGCCGACCGGCTATACTACTTATTACAAAAATTAAAACAGGACCCAAGTATAGCCGAGCGGCGATACTCTTTAAATATATTATATTTTATACGTAGAGCCGTGCGGCTATACTATTTATTTTTAAAAAAAGACATAGTATAGCCGATCGGCTATATCACTTATTATAAAATTAAAAAGGACCCAGGTGTAGCCGCTCGGCTATACTATTTATTTAAAAAATCACCCGTACCGCCGCCTGGCTATACTGTTTATTTTTTTAAAGGGCCAGCATAGCCGGGCGGCGATACCACTTATTAAAAAAATTAAAAAGGGACCCAAGTATAGCTGCCCGGCTATACGCTTTTTAGAAAAAAGGCCCAGTATAGCCAACCGTGGTCGGCCATACGTTTTTTTTTGAAGGCCCAGTATAGCCGCTCGGATATACTATTTATTTTTAAAAAAAAGGCCCACTACAGCCGCACGGCTATACTAGTTATTAAATATATTATATTTAATAAGTACAGCCGCACGGCAATACTATTAAAACGAAGGCATGCTATTTATTTTTTTTAAAAAGGAGAAGTATAGCCGCGCGGCGACATTGAATTGTGTAGATATTGAATGGTTGTTTAAAACGAAAGAATAAATCATAAAATTTGTCAAGGTTCTAAATATACTTGACTACAAAAGGAGATATTGAGAACCATTAGGATTATTCAAGGTTTTATTCTACGGGACAAGGACTTGAATGCAGGGGAGAATACTCTTCAGTTTTTTTAATCACAGAGAGACACAGAGAGAGAGAGAGAGACAGAGGGAGATGTATGACATGATGATACATGAAGGCACTGTTGGCCGGCAAATGAGTGGCGCTATTAACTTGTTTTGAGGCCAGGCTCCAACACAAGGTATGTAGCTAATTTGGTCAATTTATTAAAGCGAAACAGAGTTAAACAAACAGATTGATGAGGATCTAAGAGATGAATTTTAAACACTTTTAAATATACACTTTTAAGTTTATCTCCAGCTTATAGATTTAGTTTGAGTAGCAGCAGAGATGATGGTCGGTATTTGTTATTTCTGATTAGTGAAAAGCATCACACCACAAATTACCACCCCCAAAAAAAAGAAAAAAAAAGAAAAAAAAAGAAAAAGCTTTTGAGGTCCCATTTCCCACCCACTTTGTTTAATATCACAAAAAATAAACGTCTTGATGCTCTATATATATCATACCCTCTTCCATTCGAGTCTCTACAACAAGCCTAACATTTTCAACCAAAAAAAAAAACCATTAGAGAAAAATGCTTTTTAGGTGGAGATTTTGTGTCTGGTTTGCACTAATGCTGCTGCTTTTATTTTCTACTTCTGAAACTCGCCCTCTTAATCCAAGTTTGGGGAAGAAGAGCAACTTAACCAGCTCCGGCCAAGCATTGGCTGGAAGTTCCAGGGAATTTCTCAACGTTTGGTTGCAAAAACAAGACGCAAACCAAACTCGTTACAAACCTAAACGAAGTAGCCCGGGAGGTCCCGATCCACAACATCACTCCATTGTTCACTAGTATACAACCTCAATGAGAGAGCTCGAGGGCTCTAATTAGCATATATACATATGTTTCGGTTTCAGGGTGTACCTTTCATTTTTGGTCGAAATGAAAATCAGAAACTCTGTTGAAACTTGAGGGAACTTGTTATGATCGTTGAGCATCGATCATGGCATAGAGAAGTGTCATGTAATGAATAATTCATGTTTTGTTCTTTTTTTGAAATAAAAAATGTACTGCTGATGGTTCAACAGCTGCTGAGCAATAAATAAATTACCTGAATCCATCTTTGTTTGTTTTTAATTTTGTTCCTTTTTTCCAGGTATATTATTATATATAAAATGGTAGGGAGTAGAGTAAAGGAGTATCACTTTCTCAAAATCATGACATGATGGGAAAGAAATCTGCAAAACAGAATGTCTTCTCTTTCATAATGAGGTTGAAAAGTACTAAAAGGATATTATATATGATTGGCTTCACAACATGCACTTTTAAGTTTTATATTATTAGCAGCCAAAAACGAAAGCTAATGCTCATTTACAAGTGACAATTAAGGATAAGATAAACTGTACTAATTATATTATTCAATTTCAAATGGTATCTTATCTTGCTTTCCCAACTCAAATTCTGCATATACCGGATTCTATGGAATAAGTTGCTTCAAGTCACATCAGAATCATAAGTCAAAGCCATCAGCGTTTGATCTACATACAATGCTTGAACTTGTTCTTTTGCAGCATAAGTTAAACATAATCTACAAAATAGATACCTCTGCAATTCAAGATTCCCTCATAACTCATGTTGTAGGGAGGGCTTTTTTTACGGGGTTTATCTGTTTTTTTTTCCTTTCAATTTGCTCAGTCAATATGAAGCTTGCATTGCAAGTAGGTTCCCCTATATGTTGTCTTGTTCGCGTGATCATTTTTATTTGTGTTTATGCTTGAAGCACCTTCAATATTCAATAGAACTGCTTTTCAAAGTGTTATACAGAGAAAAAGCAACCATCATCGCTAAATTAACAAAGTCAAACACTCTTTAGTACTTTTGAACTATATAATAAGTGCACAACAACAAAAAGAAGCAGCACATTTGTTTGAGTTTTGAAGCCATGATAAGTAGTTGCATATATAAATCCACTAGAACACTTGTGACTGAGATGCTTTCTATTCCCTTTTCGAAAGGACAGCTTTTCAGGCCTTCGAAAACTTCCCATAGTAACAGCTATGCATTAAATATAATACTCTGGAAAAATTAAGGTGCCACTATATATATGTGTGCGTGCTTTCTTGCATGCCTGTTGTTACAAGTAGAGGTTCGAAAAATTAAAGTCTCAACTTTCCTTAGTGATATTATATATATGGTGAGAAGCTAACTGGTAGAGAGTTTCAAATTTAATCTTGCAGAGGATGGCTATAGCACCCAATTCTCAGTCTCAGATATCCGATGCCTTGATTTGTGAAAGCCAGGCATGGTAGGTCCAGACGGAATTTGTCTAGGAGCTTAAAAGCAAAACTTATATATACTGACAAATTTTAAAGCTTTTGTCCGAAGTATATATATGAGACCGAGCGTGGAGAAGGAGATCATGCCCCATAACAAACAGGAAATGCATTAAGTTAAGAGGAGCAACCTTTAGCCCACCTTCAGTTTTTCTGGCATTATATGAAAAGAAATGCATATGGATAATGGACACGAGGGTTATGTTGAGAGTGCGAATCCCACATCGGGAAAAAAGGTTTGGTGCTTGAGCCTCAAGTTTCCCATTATTGTGATTCAGAAGCCTTGAAGACTTAAAGAAGTTTGTTTGCTTGCTCTGACTTATTCTCAACTTTAGGCCATATTACCCTCTCAATTAACTTATGGAGGCAAGTAATATACTGACCAAGGCTTGTTCAGTGCCAGTGAAATTGTTAATATGGAATAGCAAAATGTTGGATTTGCAGTTCCGCAACATAAATTCTGTGAAATTTCATCAGAACATATCTTTTGACAGATGCTAAGCACGTTTCAAGAAAGAAAACTTTTAATATTGCTGCTGCTGATATTATTTTTTCCGCTGCATCAAGCATCTAGCTAATTAGAAGCGAGAACAATGTCTAATCTGATCATTAGCAACAGATCTTCAATAAGTTGTTCTCTGTTTCAGCTTTTTTTTATAAAGATTATGTGTATATATGTACAGATTTCTATTAGGACTTAGGAACATAATAACACAAGATCGATTAGAACAAGTAACAAATAAAATGGCA